TGATAGTCACACAGGAATGTTTGCTAGAGGAGGAAATACAACCCAGATATTCTGGCTTCCAATCCAGTGTATTCACTACTAGACCAAGAGCTGTTAAAAACTTTCCATCAGAATGTGTGTATTTCAAAAAAAAAAGAATTGTTTGGGGGAAAATAGAAACAAAGCATTTCAGTAAGGTCAAAAGTTTCCTTTTTGACTACATTGAAATGGATTTTTTTGATGTTTTTCATTTCAAAAAGGGAACAAAATGTTTCAATTTTATCAAAACAGAATGTTTTGATTGACCTGAACATTTTGGAAGAAATTTCTGAATTCTTTGTTTTCGTTCTTTTTAGAAGAAAAAAACTAATTTTACAGTAATGCAATTTCCCATGAAATGTAAATTCTGGTTTCTGCCCAGCTCTAACTAAACTATGTTCTCAGCCTCTTTCTTATAGGGCCATTTTTTATATCTGTACCTCAGTGTGTGATGTCTGTTTCCATAACTCTAACTTTCCATTGAAATCAATATGAATTTTAAGTGAACTGTCATTACGAGGCCTTGTGAATTAAATCTAGTCCAACATTTGTTCATTTGTATTCGATGAAACTGGATCAAAACATTTTTCTACCTACTCTGATTTCTCTGTTATTTATTCCGTGCTCATCTCCATGGGTTCTGAACACATTGTAATTTCTAATAGTAAACATATCAAAGTTACTTTGTCTTTCTCCCTAGCTATGACATCTTGTTTTATTTGGTTATTAGTTTTGGTTGGCTGGTTTTCCCTTTTTTAACTGCGGAAATACACAGGTCAGAGCAATGGTTGATATATTTCAGTCTGAAGATGATGAGCTCCAGAGGGGTGTTTTCAATAAACAGTCTGGACTCAATCTGGCTCCCATTGAAGTCAAAAGGTGCTTGTCATGAATCATAAAAGATCAGGATTGGAAAAGATCTCAGGAGGTCATCTAGTACGACCCCCTGCTCAAAGCTTCAGTGCTTGTGGGACTGGGTCGTGGGAAGCCCAGGATCTGGCTCCAGGGATCTCTGACCTGCTCTAGTCAGGATCCTTCTGCTTTTGCAGTGAGAGGAAGGTGGGTAAGTTTTGCAGTTAAGATTCAGGGCTGTAGAGTATTTTCCACTGGCAGGTGGTCTCTCAAACGCTATAGCATGGAAACTGGTGCAATTTCTTTTGTGAGACATTTTCAGAACCTCTCCCTCCTAAGAGTGTCTGCTGTGCCTGAACCAAAGTGTGTGCATGTGTGGGGACGGGAGGGGGAAGGAGGGTTCAACACACTCTGCTCTTCTGTTGCCTCTTTTCTTGGTATTCAAAGCTCCTTCTTCAGATCCATGGATTTTTATGTAGAGAAAGAGTGAGCCGGGGACTGGGGTGGATATGTGTGAGAATAATGCACCTTTTCTCCTTCACCAAAAGAGAGAGTCCCCATAAAACACAATCCTGTTCACAGAATCTTTAGTTTTGTAGCTATTAGTTCTGTTTGGGGTGGTTGCAGACATGTATTCCACTCAGGTGTGTTTGTGCTCAGTGCACTGGGGCTGGAGATTTTTCCCCTAGCAGTACCCGTCAGGGCAGCGCATGTGCTTAGCACCTCCTTTTGGTCCCAACAGAGGCTATATAAGGGTGACACTGCCCTGACCCCCCTCAGTTCCTTCTTGATGCCAGGGGCCTTAGTTGGAGTTCCCCGTGCACATTTTCTCTTTGGTTTTTTTCGCACTGCATCAGGCTGTTTTGCTGAGTTTTTCACTTTCAAAATAGCTTTTAATTGTTGTTCGTGGTAGAACCTACAGTCTAGTTTATATTTAGTGTAGTTTTTATAGTTAGTCATTTTAATGTTTGTGTTGCCCAGCAACAAGGGTTATGCAGTGTTCTCCGGGCTTTAGCATTGCCCGTCATGTGGGGTCTCTGTCCACATCAGTGACTCACACACTTGCTGTTTGCTCCACCCAGGAGTGGGTCACATTTCAGAAAGTTGTTGTTCTTTTAAAAAGCGAACACAGATGTCAAGTAAATTTTATCTAAAGCAGCAGTTGGTGGAGAAAGCCATAAGGCGTGTGTTGGTATCAATACCCTCCACCACCTGTGGATCTAACCACCCTCAGCTGCCTTCCACCCCTGAAGTGGCAGAGGACAGACCCTGGGACTCTGATTCTCCCTCAAAGAGGGAAGTTGCTCTATGTCTCGGGAACCGCCTTGAAAGAGGACCCATGAGACAGCTTGGGGAAAGGAAGGATTCAGCATCTTCCTCCTCAAAGACAGCCTTGAGATGTCCAGATAGTAACCAGGGTTGTACTGGGACAGGAGTTTTCCTGTACCATACTATTGACTCTGGATCCATCTGGGGATGGCTGTGAAATCTAGTACCTACAGACACAGGTGTGGGAGCAATGGACTTGTTTTGTTTGTCATGCTAACCTCAGCACTATCTCAGGTGTCAGCGGGACTATCGATACCATCTGCTATTCCAGGCCCTTCAACTTCTTCAGCATTGGGGCCAACGTGGATGCCATCAACACTGTTGGTACTGGTGATGAAACAGAGAATATTTTCAGCACAGGGATAGGGAGAGGTTTAGGTTGGATATTAGGAAAAACTTTTTCACTAGGAGAGTGGTGAAGCACTGGAATGGGTTACCTAGGGACGTGGTGGAATCTCCTTCCTTTGAGGTTTTTAAGGTCAGGCTGGACAAAGCCCTGGCTGGGATGATTTAGTTGGGGATTGGTCTTGCTTTGAGCAGGGGGTTGGACTAGATGACCTCCTGAGGTCTCTTCCAGCCCTGATATTCTATGATTCTATGAAAAAAATGGGGCACCCATGTCCTCTGTAGAGCACCCAAGATTCCTCTCTCTCTATGTGGAAGACGGGCTCAGACAGCTCTGCAGAGCTGCAGTACTTTACCTGGATCTCAAGGCCCCTTGAACTCCACACTTTTCCCCATTCCACATAAATATCTGTGAGATTAATCATCCAAACCATAAACCATCATCACAGTAAATTATTCCAGCTGTCTGGCTATAAATATCTCTAGCTCTTTTAAAATTTAAGTCATCATGGATTTTGAACAATTTAATTCATTTACTGGGTAATCTTTGATGCATGGTACCAAGGGAAACACTGAACAAGAGTTTAAAAGGCTATAATATTGGTTGTTGTTGTTTTTTCAGATGAAATGAAGAAGGAATTAGGTGAGTGAAGACCTAGGTACACCCTTGCTGGTGTCCCCACTCCCATTGCTTGGATATTTGGAGAGAGGGGCCATTTCTCCTGTCTCTCTTCCATCTTCCTGGCTGATCCTGATGGAGAAGGGGATCCTGACAGTCCATGTTCTTCCCCATCCATGGCAGGGAATACAGCAGCTTCAGGCAGACACATTGCATCTCCTCACACTGTTCACACATACCAGGCAGCATGGTAGATGTGGCCTGATTCCTGTTGTCTGTCTCAGCCTGAGGGGTGGGACAGACCCACTGTCTCCTTGACAGACACATATGGGGTCCAAAACACCTCAGTAGCCACAGCTGGAGTGTCACTGATTTAGAGTATGTCTGCACAGCAGCTGGGGTGCGTAATTCCCAGTGCAAGTAGACAGACACGTGCCAGCTTTGCTTGAGCTACCATGCTAAAAATAGCAGTGTAAATTCAGTGAGAGAAGTAGCAGCTCAGACTAGATGCCTGAGTATGTACCTAGGGGTCAGGTGGAATTGTACTCATCGTGCTAACCCTAGCCAGTGTGGTCACTCCGCTATTTTTAGTGCACTAGCTCAAACAGACACACATTGGAGGGAATTGTCCTTCTATGTCCTGCTTAGTAGGAGCTGGATTGCTGTGAATACAGCCTCTGGTGGTTGGAAACACTGTGTGTGTGGACGGGAAGGTTCATTTTTTGTTCGAGTGAGAGGGGAATGTGTAAGAGGGAGTTAGATCAAAGCCAATGAGAGCAGGTAACATGGGGAGGTGACTCATTGGCTGGAGGTTCAAGATAGACAGAGCAGATCTCAGACAGAGCAGGACTCCTGCCCTGGTTTCTAATCTTAGCTCAGAACAGCCCACATGTGTGTGACAGAGAGAGAGAGAGAGAGTATGACCATTCAAGTGCCATTTTTTGTCTATATTAACTCCAGCAAAAGGAATCACCCCCTAATGCTTCTGGCATTCTCACTTGCCCTCAGTCTGGAACTTCCTTGCTGCTGGAGGAAGGAAATTTGCAGTCAATGCCTCTCTTAATTCAATGTCTGTTGTTTTCTTACTTTCATTTCAGAATGGAGAAGGGCTCGGAACTATTCAGGTAAGAGAATATACAGCACATGGATAGAGGTGCTGATACTATGGTGATAGATGCAGCGTGAGAACCTCAATACATTATAATCTATTCCATTATTAAGGAAATCAGCAGGTTTGATGCTATAATCAAACTAGAAACACAGCCTGTTCTTATCAGAGACACAGCTCCTAAGGTCCTTCCCGGCTTCTAAACTAATTTCAAGGTCTGATTCTGACTTTATTTACAACAATTTCACACCATTGTAACTCCACTGACTTGCATGGAGTTACTCCTGAATTACAACAGTCAGTTCAGAATCAGCCCCCAGTGTGAGATTTCCCTGAGTGACCACTGATGGTGTGATATTCCAAAACATCTAAGTGATTTCAGAGCACAAATCTCATTGCAACTCAATGGGGCCTTGTAAATGGGGCCTATATCTGTTAGTACCCCCACTGTGGCAGGATGGAGAGCTACACCACCTGACTCCCCTTATGCCTCCACCCTCAATTCTGTATTGGTCAAGTTCATTGTCTAGCCCTTTTGCTGGGTCCTTAATAGTTTCAGTCCCCTTCAGGATCATGGGGAATTGGAAGTTCCTTGACTCTAGTGGGGTAGAGAGCCCTAGATGTCCATGTTTTGGAGCCTTCTTCTCCAAATTCCTTGGCTGGAGTAGGTAGGGGAGCCTGGGCCCATCCACTCCACTGGGTTCCATCTCCGGGTCCTTGTTTGGAACAGCCAGAACCAGTCCTTCTCTCTCCCTTGCTGCTCCCTGAGCTACCTCCTATTGCTCCTGCTCTGGAGGCTTCCCCAGCCTCTTGCTCTGCTTCTCTCTCTCTGGCATGTTGGCTTCTCAGATAGCTTCTCCCCAGTGTGCTGGAGGGATCCTGTCTCTGCAATCCCTCTGCCTCTCTGGCTGCTGCCTTTCTCCCCAGGAGCTCCCCCTCTCGCTAAGGTCCTTAACCTTATATCAATACCCGGTGCTTCCCTGTGTAATTCCCTTCCCCCGGTTACTCAGTGAGGTAACTACTCCCAGGTGAACTTGAGCTTCCTCATGCCCCCTTGTGGAGCCTGTCAGCAGAAGGCTGGGCCCCTGACCCCTTCAGAGGGCCAGCTACCCTCTAACAGACCTGTGCTCCCAAGTTATTTCAGCCCAGCTCTTCCAAGGTAATGATCCCAATGGGAGATAGGCACCTAAATACCTTTGAGGAGCTGGGCCTCAGCGTTTACTTGGAGCAGGGTTTTCAGAAGTGCCTAAGGAGGAACTTTGGGATTTCAGCCACAGTGAAGGCACAGATGATGTGGTGGCAGGAATGGGGACTGCAATGAGAATCATAATGCAATGGTTGTGGGACCACAAAGGGGACTGCAATGGTGACTGGCATGGTCAGGAGTGAGTCAATGAGGTTTATGAGGGCACCATGATGAAGACAGTGGTGGGATCATTGGCTCTGGTGATAACGGAGACTGACTGTGATGTTGCTGATTATAATAATTATAGAGGGAGAAGATAAAAATGATGCTGAGGTGAGGAAGGACACAGTGATGGTGATCTGACAGTGAAGATAGTGCAGATAATAATTTGCATGTTGCAGCAGTTTTATGCTGACCATCTCAGAGCTCTTTACAAGCAATTATAAAACACCTGATTAGGTTGGCACCATATTGAGCTTACTGAGGAGTAAACCAACTATCAGAGAGCTTATGTAACCTGACCAATGTCACACAGCAGCAGAGCTGGGAACAGAACCTAGTGGTCCTGATTCCAGGTCTAATTATTAGGTAAAATTTATTTTAATGAATAATTATAATGTTTTATTATTTATGTGCATCGTATTTATTTACAATGATAGTAACAGGGGTATGTTGACATGACCAGTGTTTGAGTTCTTCGTAATCCAATTCTGTGTTTTATGATGAACTTCTCATCATAGTTAGCTGTTATAGGAAACATATATTTGCCATTTGTCCCACAGAAAACATCCCATAATGCTAAACACATAGTGGCCTGATTCAGCTCTCAGTTGCAATAGTGATGGTGTACTTTACTGGCCATTAGTTTAAGTGAAGTTACTCTGGATTCACACTTGTATAACTGAGCTCAGAATCTGGCCCAATTTGAGTACTAATGTGATAAACAGTTCAGGATCACTTTTATTTTTGTGCAAATATCACACAAATCTCATTTCCGACAGAGTTCAATGCAACATTGAATTGGCTAGTGTGCAGCACTGGTCAAGTCTGCAGTCTTTACTCAGGCAAAACTCCCATTGAAATCAGTGGGAGCTTTGCATGAGGAGAGGCAGCAGGAGAAAGTTCATAGTGTATATTTCCCTCCTAGTCCAGTGTATACTGGCATTATAGGAGTGGTTCTCAAAAAGAAAACTCTCTTCCTGTAGATGACATCACTCTTCATGGAGTCACGGCCCACCCCAACCTCTCCATTTCTGGGGATAAAAAGAGTTTTACACATGAAGCCCAACCTCAAAAAGTTCCATCAAATCCAGAGAGGTTCGATTCGACCGTCTGTGTGTTGGGCTCTGAAAGATTCTCCTCTGGAAAGCACTACTGGGAGGTGGAGGTTGTGAGCAGCACTGACTGGGACCTGGGAGTGGCCAGAAAATCAATACAGAGAAAAGGAAAACTTTCCCTGTCCCCTAAAGAGGGATTCTGGGCTCTGGGTTTCAGTGGGAGAGATTATTGGGCAAAAACAGACCCATGGACCCGGGTCAATGTGCAGAAAAAGCCCAAGAAAATTGGAGTTTACCTTAGTTACCAAGAGGGGCAGGTGACTTTTTTCAATGTAACTGACATGTCTGTGTTGTTCACATTTAATGATTGTTCATTCTCAGGAGAGGTTTATCCATTCTTTAAAAATTCACACAAAGAAACAACAATGAGAATGTGTTCAATTAAAGAGGAATATATATAACATGACTCTGATGCTGATTTTATACTGATGTAACTGAAATCAAGGTTTTCATGAATGTATTTTGATGAAAAATCTATGTTTTTTTTAAAATGTACGTTGTCATGCTGTCTTCATTATATGTTTTGCAATAAAATGTTTTCATTTCCTATTTGTTTTTTGCTTGTGACTTTTGTCCAATACAATATTTGAGTAGCACAGTGTTTCTGGGGAATTTGATGCAGATGTTAAAAACAAGAAAATACCATCCATCCTCTCTAACACTTTCCGTATTGGCAGTGTGATAGACCCAGGCCAGTTGGGAACAGCAGAGTAGTCCTATTGGGATCCAGGAAGTGGGCAGGCGAAGCGGGTGCCCACTGCTAAAGGATCCTCCCAGCCTAAGGGGGGGTCCACAGGACCTGGAGACCAAAAAATTACGCGGGACAACTAATAAAAAAACAGGGACAGGAGTGAGGTCAAAGGGTCAAACGAAGCGAACCAGACGGGGACACGGAGCAGAGAACCCCGGACAGCGCCCACTGCTCCTCGAAGGCGTCAAGGGAGCCAGTGGACGCCGCCCAGAGGAACTCTGCCCGGATACGTGAACGAACGGAGGACCGGAAATAGGCCCCACAGTCACAGGAGACTCCATCGGCCAACCTCCTCACTCTGGTTTTATAGATGGCCAGTTTTGCTAGGGCCAGGAGGAGGTTGACCAGGACTTCCCGTGACTTTGTGGGGCGACGGATAGGGAGTGCATAAATAAAAAGGTGAGGGGGAAAAGTGCAACCAAAATCTTAACAAAATATCCTTGAGGAGCTGCAGCCTGGCGCACTCCAGGTAAACATGCGCCAGGATCTCCCTCACGCCGCACAAGGGGCAGGTGTCTGGGATAGGGGTAAACTGTGCCAAGTACACGCCTGTGCTCATGGCTCCATGAAGGAGCTGCCAACTGATGTCCCCGGTGGGCTTTGGGATCAGAGTAGGATAAAGGCTGGCCCACCGGGGCTTAGCAAGACCAATCCTCAACTATTTTTTTGCCCCAGAACTCTAAATGGCCCCCTTAAGGATTGAACTCACAACACCCTGTTTAGCAGACCAATGCTCAAACCACTGAGCTATCCCTCCCCCTACAGCAGAGTAGTAGAAGGCAGATATACTGGCCACTGGATAAGCAGTTTTCTGTTCCCTGAGTGACCAGAGCAGGGGCTGCTCCAGGCTAATGAGAACATCTGACTCCAATAACCTGCTAAGAGTCAGGTGAGGCTGTTAAGCACCTGACTCTAATTAAGGTCCCTCTGATGCTATAAAAGGGCTCACTCCAATCAGGCCAGAGAGAGACAGGGAGAGGAAGTGCATGTGAGGAGCTGGGAGCAAGGCACTAGGAGCTGAGAGTGAGAAGGCATATTGCTGGAGGACTGAGGAGTATAAGCATTATCAGACACCAGGAGAAAGGTCCTGTGGTGAGGATAAAGAAGGTGTTGGGAGGAGGCCATGTGGAAGTAGCCCAGGGAATTGTAGCTGTTGTGCAGCTGTTCCAGGAGGCACTATAGACAGCTGCAGTCCACAGGGCCCTGGGCTGGAACCCGGAGTAGAGGGCGGGCCCGGGTTCCTCCCAATTCCTGATCAGACACAGGAGGAATTGACCTGGACTGTGGGTTCTACCAGAGGGGAAGGTCTCTGGGTGGTTCCCCGACCCACATGATGAATCTCTGAAGCGAGCAAATCCACCAATAAGCGCAGGACCCACCAAAATAGAGGAGGAACTTTGTCACAGCAGCTTCAACTTGCAGGCAAAATAGCAAGAATCTCATTGCTAATTTCAGCATTTTCCTGTATAATAAAAGATAGATAACATGGATATCTCACTCATAACCATATTTTGGGATGGTATTATGAAGTTGCAGTGGCTGGAACAAAATTTAGACTGAAGATAGATTTCCACTATAGACACAATTTTTTCACACCTACCTCCCCTGTAAAGTTATCCAATCTTCCTGATATTTCCCACCAAGATAGAATTCTTCTGGGAATTCACTCAAAGTGAGTTAAGCTAAACTGATTTAACTCTGAGGTCTGGTCTACACAACAGACCTATGTCTGTCCAACTATGTCACATGGGTGTGAAAATTCCATACCTTGGAGCCAGGTAGTTCTAATAGTGACCTTAACATCCCTTTGTAAACAGTGCTATGTCAATGGGAGAGCTTCTCCTGCTGACATAGCTCCCACCTGTCAGTGTTTTAAATGTTGAAGTACCCTTAACGAGAGTGTCCACACAGGGGTTTAAAGTAGTTTAGCTAATCCACTTTTAATTCACGTCTTTAGGGCATGTCTACATTTTGAAACATGCATCTGCAGGGCTGGAGCAGTGCCACTGTAGTGCTACAGAGTAGACTCTACCTTGCTGACAGGAGGGGTTCTCCCATTGGCATAGTAGATAATGCACCTCCCCAAGAGGTGGTCGCTAGGTTGATGGAAGAATTCTTCCACTGGCGTAGCGCTGTCTACACTGAGGGTGGTTAGGTCAGTATAGCCACGTCTCCCGGGGGTGTGGATTTTCACACCCCTTGAGAGACAGCTTTGCCAATGTAAATTCCCAGTGCAGACCAGCCCTTAGTGCCTCTTGTGCAAACTCATTGGGTCTAAGGTAGTGGGCTTGTTTCTTTTCACAAGCAAGGTACAAAGAAACTAACTTCTTAACACACTGCTCAACAATGTAAAGGGCTCCCATAAAACACCTCCCAAAACTACGGAACAGCCACCATCATGTCATGTTTTCTGGCAATACCACGGGCCAGATTCACCAGTACTGTTTGGTTGCTTTGCACCGTTCTGTGATGATGAACAGCTGTGCACCAAGTTTAATTGGCTAGTTAATTATGGCTGCTTTGGGACACTGGTGCAGTGTGAAGCAGACAGAGTGTACTAGGAATTCTGGCCCAATTTAAAGCAGGACTAGGGATGTCTTCATTTTTCCACATTATTTGATCATTGACTCCTGGGGTTTTCTATGCATTTGCTCCCAGATTATCCTCTTTTTTTCTAGCCTTAATCCCATCTACATGGGGCTGGCTCCCAGATTCATAGGTTGGATTTTTTCCTCCGAAAGGCAGAGTTAGTAGCTGCAGCCTTGGAGCTAATTATGATCTTCCTCATCCCTAAACTCTTCATCACTTCACAAAAGATGTCACAGAATTGCAGCCCCTGTCTCTGCTGAGTGGAATGCTCCATCCCAGCACCGCTCTGCCTCTGCTTCATCGTGTCGACCCTTTGTTCAAACAGTGGGAGGATGTTGTCCTAAAGATAGTTGATTATTTCCACAAACAAATCAAGGTCAGTGTTGCATTAACTCCTCTCAGCCTCTGCTTGTGCTAAAATGGATGTTTATTATTCATTTTCAGAGAGTTATAATCAGTGTTCCCACTAAGCTGCGCGCCTGCATGGCCACAAGAGTCAATCAAGTCCTGTGCACTATGATTAGTAGAGCCGCGCATACCTGGCAATTTGTGTTTAGGTGCCTCTCACCCTG